GATCATGTCCGCCAGAATGAGCTTGTGAGTGATCTGGTGGAGAAATGTGGTGGTGGTGCTTCATCATTGATAATAATAACTGGAATCAAAAGCATGAATACAGGAACAACCAGTTCCAGGTGGAGGAGCTACTTAAGTCCATAGACAAGATGGTGAAAGAAAACAGTGGAAGCTGTACACCAATGAGATGCTTCAAGCAGTGGAGAAGAAAATACAACAAGTGGAGAAGCACCAGAGACTGCTACCAGGAAACATGTCAGAGGAAGAGATCAGAGAGCAGGCTAAGCGCAAAGTATTTGAGAAGCTTTTGATCAGACTGGCAGGTACTGCTACAGGTGTAGTGTTAGGAGCATTTTTCGGTGTTGTAGTGCCAGTTGGTGTAGTTGTTACAGTTTTACAGGAATCATCAAAGCCAGTACAATTAAGAGGAGCTATAGCCGAAACAGTAAAATTGGTAGAAAAAGGAGCAGTTAGGCTAATAGGAAAGTGACTAAAGAGCAGAGTGACTAAAAACGAAACTGCAACTTAAACCACCAGAAAAACATCAAGCTGTGACGTACTATTGCACTATATTTCAGCAACCTCTACCTAACCTAATCTAACCTCTAACCTCTACAACACTACTGGTTTCTTTGATGGATAGATCTGAGGATATTGAGCCTGAGATAGTGAAGTATATAGCTCAAGGGGGGGTGAGACAGAGTGACTCTCTCCTGCTGAGTCTTCAGTAACATCAGTTTTAGGGGTGGTGTTCTTCCAGTTAAACTTCCCTTAATATCATAATCATCTTATCATCTTTCGGACTACCAGTATTTGGATAAAGTAGCTTATGAAAAATAAGGTAGCTGTTCAGTCTATGGATTAGTCAGTCAGATAGCCCAGACATTAATTCAACACTTAGGTAAATATAGTTCAAGTAGGCCTATTGGATTGAACACTGTATCAGATATCCAATAATAATTATTATAAAATAAAAATAATTATTTTCAATTCTGACAACATGGAACATGAACACATAATTTCTTAGTGTCAGTTATTTCTGTCAGGACTGAACATGAGGTTAAATGGCTGACACAGAATGTGTGAACGTGGATGCTCTGATACTTTAAAGCTGATCCTAAGTTACAGACACTTTATTACATTTTACTGGATCTGTATCAGCTAAAATAAAGCCAATCAAAATGCAATGTTTGAACTTCTGGGCTACTGAAGTTTTTCTCTGTGGCTGAACTCTCTAAAATGAAGCATGCTGTAGGCTATTGCAATCAAATCACTGGATACCAGCCAAGCATGCAACATTCTGTGTGAAAGGACTAGTCATATGTTTGGTGTTTGTAACCACCATTGTATTAATCATCTGGACATTTCAGCAGAATAGCACATCTCATCTATATCTGAGAACCCTGTTGCTGACAGTTTTGTCTGCTGCTATGCAATATTTAGTAGTTATATTTAATAATACAAATCTAAAATAATGTTAATTGTGTATCTGAGCTACACAGGCACTGTGGTTTCTGATAGAGAAGCTTCATTTGATATACACAGCAACTCTCAGTCAATCTCCAGTATCCTTCTTATATTCTTTTGTTAATAAGGTTTTGGAGAAAAATACCTGTCCTTTTGTCTTGATAAAGTATCAGTATTGAAACATTTGAAAGAGGTCATTTGAGCAAATAAAGAAAATGAATGGGTGGAAGAAGGCACTGTTTTCTATACTGACAATATGGACTAGGGTTATGGAGCACCATACATGCAGATTAGAGAATACATTCTTAATGAATAGTGACATTTCTATCATCATTATTATTATTTATTGTTAACATTTCAATGTTGCCAGGAAAATGTTATTAAGCTTTACTTGGTTTGACAAAGACTGACTCTGGAATTAAGAGAAATCACTGCAATAGCAGCAGCTGGCAGTGGTTAGCATTAAGAACAAGTAAGTGCAGCTACTGCTGTGTGATTTCATCAGACTTTGATTCAAATAAAATTCTAAATTCTGATTGGTGCTTTTCCATTGAAGCTCTGCCCTTCAAAAACGTCTTTTCTACCTGTCTATTTGTCGACAAGGACAGTTGAACACATAGGCCTAAAGTAAAGAGTTTTATCTGCTGCTATGAAATATTTAGTAATTATATTTAATAATACAAATCTGAAATAAGGTTAATTTTCACTTTTTGTTTACTCTCTTTTTACTCCCTTATTCTTTTATTAACGTGCACACTATTTAATAATAAATAAGCTCATCATAATATTGTTGAAGCATGACTTCCTGTACTTAACCTAAGAGGATGTGAAAACAAAAGAATGGGTGGAGGGGGGCTGTGACTAAGAATGAAACTGAAAGTATGTCAAATTTAACATAAAGGAAACATATTCACATACGCAGGCAGTCTTCACTCAGACTCATCTTCACTGCACAGCTATAGACTTCAGTTTTGATAACATGGGCTGTATCGGTAAGTTAAAGTGATTTCTGTTATTTTAGTTTTAGTTTTGTTTTGCTTTTTATAATTTTTTTGTCATAGTTAAGTTAGAAAAGTAGCTTGTGAATAATAAGGTAGCTGTTCAGTCTGTGGATTAGTCAGTCAGATAGCCCAGACATTAATTCAACACTTAGGTAAATATAGCTCAAGTAGACCTATTGGATTGCACACTATATCAGATATCTAATAATAAACAGGGTCAAATAAGGGCAAAAAACCTGATTATAATATGTAATCTGTTTACAAAATGATTCTTGGTGTTGTTTACCACAATAGATTAATTTACAGAATATTGCTGAACAGTGATTGGTACTGTTAAAACAGATTAGACACATAAGATGTTCTTCATCACCTTTTTATATATTGACACCATTCTTTATTCTCTTGCTGTAATATGCTAATGGGGCTATTTTATAACTGATTTCCCTTTTCATTGTGATTTTTGACCACTGAGGACTTTTGTTGTAATAGAGCTTGTAAAGTGAATCTTATGAAAACAAGCAAAAGACAAATGTACAATATTACTGATGAACATTATTCTCTTTCAGTGTCAATGGTCAAAGATACAGACACAATTAGAGTTGTCATCTTGGGAAAAACTGGAGCTGGGAAAAGCAGCCTGGCTAACACCATATTTGGAGAGGATGTGTTCAAGATCAACCATGGTTTCAACTCTGAAACGACTGAATGTCAATCAGAAACCAGATCTGTCAATAGAAGAAAGTTCACTTTGATCGACACTCCTGGTTTCTTTGACACAGATAGATCTGAGGAGGAGCTGAAGCGTGAGATAGTGAGGTGTATCATAGAGTGTGCTCCTGGGCCTCATGCTTTTCTCATTGTGCTTAAAGTGGAGAAATTCACAGAGCAGGAGCAGGCTGTCATCAAAAAAATACTCAAATACTTTTCTGAAGAAGCCTTGAAATATGCAACAGTTGTCTTTACTCATGGTGACCAGCTCCCTGAAGGACAGACCATTGAGGATCATGTCCGCCAGAATGAGCTTGTGAATGATCTGGTGGAGAAGTGTGGTAGGAAGTATGTGGTCATTGATAATAAATACCTGAACAAAACTGACAAGAAAAAAAGGGTGAAGGAGCTACTTCACTTAGTAAAAAACAAGGAAAGCTACACCAATGAAATGCTAATAGCAGTGGCGAAAGAAATACAACAAGAGGAGAAGCGCAATAACAATGAACAGTCATCAGGAAACATGTCAAAGGAAGAGACCAGAGAGCAGGCTAAGCGCAGTGTAAGTGAGACGATTTTGACCACAGTGTCAAGTATTGCAACAGGTGTAATGTTAGGACCTTTGTTTTCTAAATTGCAATTAATTAAATTAGCAGATAATAATACAAATCTAGTTGGAATTGTAAAATTGGTGGCAGAGGCAGTAGGAGGAGCTGCAGTGTCAGAAGGAACAGCTGCAGCGGTGGAAGGAGCAGCTTTAGTGATGGAAGCTGTAATGGGGGGCAAGAGAGGATATGAAGCATCTAAGGGAGCAGACACACCATGGGAAGCTTCAAAGAGGGCTGCAGTGGCTGTCAAAGAACACTCCAAGTCACAGTATGATAAGTTTAACATGATGTTGAACTAAAAGTCAAAACAGAATTAAAACCTATAGAAACAAATGTGACTGTTGAAGAAGGGGTAGATAATATCATCAAAAGATCATATCCCCTCATAAATTAAATTTCAACAAACAACAATTCTTACCCTTGTCGCCAAGTGCTTGCTCATGGTGGTACTGCTGGGTCTCTGTAAATAATGTTATAAGGAGTTTGGTCTGATAACTTCTGTTATGAATTGGCTATACAAATAAAATTGAATTGAATTGAATTGAATTGAAATTGTTCTAAATAATCTTTAACCATTGAGCTGATTTTTTTTTTTTTTATGTAATCGGTTGTACTTCTTGTCTGAGCTTTAAAATTTAGCCACTTATTCCTGTTTCACGAGCAAACCACAGTGTCTGTTTGATGTGTTGTTTAGTGCACTTACTCTAAATTGAAACCAACAACAACAAAGATAAAACATTTTAACATCATATCTTAAAGATATTTAAATCAAACAAGTATACACTGTTGGCTGTATTTCTGTTTGCTCTTAATAGTTTCCTGTTGCAAAAGCTAACCAGATAAT